GCAACACAGTGTTATTGCTTCTTAATGACATCTTACGCCCTTTTGTGCTCTGGTTGTAATACATGGGCGCACGCTACATGTGTCAGTCGTAAAAAGACAGCCGTCAGGTATATTACTCGGATCATGGTGTAATCTTTTATTCGCGAATGTGAATCTTTCGTTTAAATCGAGTTAAACACACAAATTAACACACTGTTATCAAGTTCGTTGACGGAAGGCAATGAAATTAAAGATGAATTATATGGTAATGATGTCCCTCTTAATCCCCAGAAGAGCTCGATTATTGAAAAACGAAAAAACAACTCACACAATGCTTCTGTTGCACACTTGAACAATAACAGCATACAAAACAAATTTCAGTGACTAAAATTGCTGAATTGTTCTTTTAAAGTGCAAATACTTATGTATCTGAAACCAAAATTGACAGTTCTTATTTTGACGACCAGTTTAGACTACAAGGATACCATATGTATCGCAGAGACAGAACCAAAGGGGAGGTGGACTCATTGCTTATTTTTCTAGAGCTACAAGATGCTGGAAGCTATTGCTGTTGATTACTCTGCTATTTTTCTGATTATTGTTTACAAGGTTATTTAAGTTGCAGTTTAATTTCTGGTTACCTTTGTATATTTGCTTAACTTGGGGTGTGCTAAGGGTCCTGCCTGCCCTTTTTTATATTGTGCCTCTCTTTATCCTGGCTAATTGTTTTGTTGGTTAATGTTTTGTTTTTGGTTTTGTTTTGCTTTTGTTATTTTTCCCATACTTGCCATTTTTTAAGCGAGCTATTAGGCAGTTGCAGATTAATTCCTGTTAGTTTTCGAATTCCTATATTTAAATTTTTGGCGTACTGGTCGACGATCCTCTTTGCCTTTGTGCTGTTTTACATTCTTGTTCCTTGCTAACTCTGTTATTCTCCCTATATTTCTGATCATTTTTATGGTAGTTGTATATGAATTTCTTGTTACTACATTTGCTGTATCTGCGGCTTGCTGAGGCTAGGGACCTCTGCTTTTCTTTTGGGTTGCTAAAGTTGCAATTACTGTTAACATGGTTTTGGCAGTTACAGATAAATTCCTTGATAATTTTGACATATTTGCTTAAATCGCTTTTCTTGTTATTACAGCTTTTTATTTCCTTTCTGTTCTATTACTAAACTATTAATTACTAAATTTGCTGTGGATCTTTGTTTGCAAAATATTTTATGTTAGAGTTCAATCCTGGACATTTGTGCCTTTATGTAGGGGGGGGAGGGGGATGGGGCACAATGAAACAAATAAACCCTGAAAACCCTCAATTTCAATTAAAATTTCCACACGAATAGGCTTTTGCCGCATTTTTGTACAAAGGAATGTATGAAATTGTCCACCCAAGCCTTAAATTTGTTTCACTAGCTAGTGTGTACTAATTGCATTGTAAGGCAGGAAGGTCTGTGAGAGATGCAAGATATGTTTATTGTGATTCCGTAAGGTCTTTGTATTTCAACACTTCCTGAATATATATTATAAATGTGATTCAAGTACTGGTTAAAAAAGACAAAGGGTCAACGCCCACCTGCAATGCTAATATTGGCTTTAAAGGCT